AGGTAGAGGTTGCGAGTCCAAAAGTTGGGGTGTATTGTAGCCGCAGGGCGTTAGCTGCTTCTTCGGCGCTTTGTACTCTACCGCCTGTCGTGAATAGTAGGGGTATTCCATGCTTCACTTTACGAAGCTTATTGACATGCTTATACAGCAGTTTGTTGTTTACCATGAACTTTTTGGCTAGGCACTGTTGATAAGTTATTTTGTCCTCAAGGGACAAGTGCGGTACGATGGTTGCGATGGGCCAGGAAATTACCCCAATTCTCAGGGTCGGGGTTAATCTTGTAGGCACGCCATGCTGCATCCCTTATTGCCAAGCATTTGCAAGTCCTACTCCTTATAATTGAAGGCATTTTCGCGGGATGAAGGGGTTTGGTCTCTGATGCTTTGTTGACGATGTCGCTAAGCTTATTAACGAACTCTGCCCAAACGTTGTCAAGGGGACTTTTGTTTGAGAATTCCCAAGCAGCTGCGTCGGCGAGTTCTTTCAATACGTGGCAGCGTGTGATTGTATGAGTTAGTTTCGAGTGTTTAGATGGATACTCTGCATAACACACATAGTCAAAAGTTATTACAACGTGCTCACTGTGACCTAATGGACTATCCATCAATAACTTGTCAATCATGAGCTCTTCATTTGTGAGCGCAAGGTCCAATATGGACGGTTTGTTTGCTGTCCTGAATCTAGTGGGCGTGGTGACATGATTGTACAAATTGATATTAGCGATCAGTTCCTGCAAGTCTGCTTCGAACTGCTCACTGGGCGATGCCGAAACCTCCAGACTGTGTAGATTGAAGTCCCCGGAGATGAGAATGTGGCTGTACCTAGTGCGTGTTACTCTGTTTAGGCCACGGATCAAGCAGGAATCCATTTCCAGAGTGGACGTTGGGGGGCGGTAAACGATAGCTATGAGACATGTATCGTTGTGTCTCAGTCGGAGACGGCACCAGAGTGAGTCGGTAACGTGTGTTTCCAGGTCCTCAACTATTGTACATTGTAGATCGCTGCGGTAGTCGGGTAGGACCCCACCTCCTCTGCTGGGGCGGTCGTTCCGGATGAGTGACATTCCGGCTACCTCAACCTCAGCATCTGTCACCGCTGTGCAGTCAGAACTCAATTAATCTACATCGTACAACCTTCATTATAGCTTGGAGACTTGCATACATCCAAAAGAGCAAACTGCTATCAAAACGAATTATCATAACTCGTTACGGTTGACGTAAAATTCGGTGTCAAATATAAGTGATTAGGTGCACTCGCCCAGCGGTTTATTCAGAGGCTTTATTATTTACATTAGTCTCAGTGACCTTAGACGCTAATTTAGGAAAATAACTGTGAGCTTCTTTTGATACGGAAGTCTATATAACGTGGTTATTTTAAAAGGGCTATGGTTGAAAAAGGCAGTGTCCGAATTATGGGCCCCGCTGTTAACAATGCTTACTGATATACCCCTAATACATACCGCCATCCATAATCGAATGGTGTGGAAGAACGCTTGCATCGTCATTTTAAAACGAGCGTCCCGGTATCGGATCCCATCCAAAGGAAAGCGGCTTTGCGTACTGTCTCTTTAGGCAAATGTGCTTGGTTGAAGGTTGACCTGCGAATATGTAAGGATGAAGTCAACCACTGCCACAACCAAGAAACATTAGCAATACTGCCAAATTGTACATCAACTAAGGCCAGGAATCTCGCGTTACAAATGCAAGGCCTTACGCCTACAGCCACTTGTCTGTAAAGTCTGAAGACTTATGTGCCACCGAATTTCCGAACATGCACACACATTCATATAACCATCCGCGGTATTAGGCGATTACTCTTCTCGCCATATAAACGGCAATTAAAAGTTTTGCACCTAGGTGTTAAATGGTTTTGTTACCGCCGCTTTCCATCCGCTCTTAAAACACTCCGTAACAAAAAACTTGCAATTTTCCGACTGAGTTTAAAACATCTCTGCTGCTTCCACAGAAGCAAGCCGTCGACTTTCTACAAAGTGACAAGATTTAAATGCATTTGACAACTCAAGGTAGACTCGGTAGAGAACAACGCCAGTTAGTGTTTCGAAGGTAGCTGCATTGAGCACAAACGGCATTACAACCCAATGTAGTGTATGACGGCATAATCACGCACAACGCTGCATGGCTTGAAAAAGTCCAATTTCTTGCTTTACGTGCGCAGCAGCTGGCTCTATAGATTTCCAACGGTATTCTAAGTACGTAGCGTGCACCTTAAATAAACTAAAAACAGATTATACGCGTACGAGTTCCATCCCACTTGCTGAACAACATGTTTAAATTGCTTGTGTAACTTGTGAAAAACGCACGGTGCTACATGTTAAATAATGACAGGGTTCCATTTCTATTTACTAGAAAACCACCTCCAGCTAGCACGCTTCGTGAAGAGCCGCATTGTAGTCAATAATCGGGACAACTGTTGCGAATTAATAAATGTCGACGCCGTACATGCCGTGCTTTTGTTGCCGGGAGTGTACGACGCGTTAGCCAAGCAGATACCGCAAGACAATCGTCGTGAGTCGATCACTGGAGTTTAAGAAGGTTGAAGCCAGCTAATAAAGCTAATATACGAACTTTTACAAAAGCCACATGTAAACGCGCAACCCGTCTTTTCTTCTTGTTGTGATAGAAAGAGACTTCTGCCGGGACAAGTAAGCTAATATTGTTTCCAATCTTTCGCACAGAAGTGTAGGGTCGATACCGTGAGTATGCGCACACATTAATATATCAGAAACCAATTTTCACCAAGTGACAATAAACCAATTATCATACGCAGTAGTGCGCAGCCACTTTCTCCGCCCCGCTTTATATTGCAATGCGGCTAGTTTGAGCTTGACCGCGGCTGCTTCTAGGGGACAAGTTAAAGGCAATATGCTTAACTTTAATTAAGTAAAATCATACCAAATGGATTCCCTTTTGTGACAACATGTTTGTTTATCGTAACTGTAAGTAAATAACAAAGGCAAACAATTTTATGAATTACGATTACATTGACGTTAGGACCGTTTGGTTGCACAATGGGGCCCACTTAAATTCGCATTTCAGTGGGAAATGTAGTACAGCCACGAGCTAACTCTTTAAAACCGTTGGAAAAAGTCAAATAAAATTATATTAGTTATATAAACTGGGCAAGTTTATCGATGATTACAATAAATTTTAATACGATATTTGTTAGCCTTTTTTGCAGCCATCGTAGTCTACGAAACCGTGCTCATAAAAATGGGTGCTGCTCTAGGTTCATAAGAAAAATATTCAGTAATAAGTGCTTTATACCATTAACAAAGTTAACATACGTTGTGAAAAATAAGTCTGTTGCTACCTCAAATTTGTACTGCAGAACTGCCGCCTAACGGGCATTTTTTCGTCGTCGCGCAATCAAACGCTCCGTATAGCAATTTTGTGTGTTAGATTGGCCGTTCGCAGAAATTTGTATAGCAAATGTCGCGTTTCTAAGTCGTTTTCTACAACTGTCAATAATAGCCAAAGCTGGGGTATGTTTTGTTTACGAATAGCAAGCTGTCTTTGCATGCATTGGATCACATTGCTGATGGCATTATTCGTTTACTAGACATTTGAAACTCCGTAATATACAAATTTCTTCAGCACTCATAGATTTCACCATGTACGTGTAAATATCGTTAATTGCTTGCAATCCAATACAAGCTACGTAAAAAATTAAGAAAGTAAAATGCACAAATATAACAAAAACATAAATAGACTAGGTTATTAGTTTTATTGTTAATTGAATGATGTTAAGTCATGTTTGAATTAAATTTAAATGTACGTCTTGTAAATTACGGAAAAATTGCAAAATGGGCAACCTATCTCTGAAACAATATACGGTGGCAGGTTTACGCGTTCTCACCATGCTCATTATCAACGGCGTAATTAGACATTTATGACTTTGAAGCATAAACCTAATGAATCTCTATGTTTAAACAGCACAGTGTCAGCATGCTGCCAACAAGCCGCGTCACGATCTATTTCGCCGCAAGCGTACGTTATGCAACACCAAGCCAGAGGTTATCCTCCCATTATATGATGGTGTTACGACCCAACCTACTGTGTGAAGGCGTGTCCGCCGTATCTCACGAAAAATGTGACCTGCATAGGGAATAGCCAGAAGCTGACGACTATGATGATCGAAGGCCAGCGCGAGAAATCATACGAAGAACGCCTAAGGGGCCTAAGATTATTCTCTATGGAGAGGCGCAAGGTAGGAGTTGACCTAATAGGTACGTTCAAGGTTATGAATGGCTTCAGTGTGATCAAACCCTATGATTTGTTTGAACTTCCTTCTGTCTAATACAAAAGTGCCACTTTAGGTGTCTCCAAAAACGGCCTGGATAAGTGTTGGCTGGGTCTTTTCTCTGAATTAATGTAATTTTATTGACAGTTGTGTGAGCCATTTAGGTCTATGATCCCGGAAAGTACAAAAGTTGCTCTTATCTTGTTTCATCTTTTTGCGTTGACAAGGAAGACAACCCAGAAGTCGAAGTACTGGGGGCACTGTTTTGTTTTCCCGTACCAGAAGCCGGACACTCGTTAGGCGAGAGCCTATTTTCATCCCTGGAAACCAACCTGACTTAGCTTCGCCTTACTGTTCACCAACGTGCTGACATATATGCTGACATCGTTACTCAAAACAACTCAGTGCAAGTAAAAATGTTCATGTTTTTAATTATGAATGAGAAATATGGCAGAACACAGAAAATTTTTACTACTATAAATTATGTAACAGTAAAATACATGGGACCTGTTAAGATACTACTGAAGATGTTGCACAGATGCATGGCGGCATCTCGGTAACTGACCCCTTTTCTAGCCATTCTTATCGTGGTGTTTTACATCTATAAATTTTATCTTCTCTACTGGCTTAATTATATATCGAATACCTTTCTATACGGTCCAACCTTATTTGCTGCAACTATGCAGATGATATCGTTATAAGACGTATAGTTTCAATAGTTGACATATCTTATTTTTCAGATTAATTTGAATGAGTTCGTGCTGTTGTCATCGACCCAGTCTCCGATTCCATAGATTTTTAAATGCGTGATACGACATTTATTAGCTTCGGGCTGATCAGCTGCATTCTATTTTGTATGCACCTTCCTAACTGGAAGTGAGTGATCCACAAATACCCAGGACATCTACTGTGAAATGCCTTGGAGTCTGTATACCAAAACCCATCTTGGTCTGCTCATGTCGCTGAAACATTTGACAACGTTAAAAGTCTATCTTGATATACTCTCAGACTAAGAATTCTTACCGTACCTCGTTATTTGGTTTTTATATTTGTGACTGGTTGCAGTTTACCTCACTGGCTTTACTGTACTCCATAAACATTTCCTAGGCTACCAAGGCCAGGTTACATATCATGCTTACATCAGTTGTAACTTATTTCTAAATACATTGGACTGTCTAGATAGGTACCTGTTGATTTTATTGTTAACAGGCACGTAGACGCTTGCATTAGCTTTTACTGCGAATTGTTAAACGACCATTTTCATCCCTTATATGTAGCGCTGTCAAAAGCGTTATCTGCTTTTTCTTCACGCTCTAAATCCAGCCAATTACTTTCTCGTACGGCTTTCTACCGCAATTCTATCCTACCGTGCTTGTCACGATTACTTTTTGAGTTACCAGAACCAAGCAGCATGATACGCAATTGTTTACTTGAGTAATACACCAACATTATGCACTACAAGATATTTTTATCCATTAAATCTCAAATATTTCGCCATTCGCAGTGATAGTGACAAAATTTGAAAACGTATCTATCAAAGTGTATTAAGGCTAGTTTGACTTGTTTTGAATACTGAACATAATTTTATGGAACTAACATAATTGCAAACCATTGAAGCGAAATGTTTAACGTACACTTATAGTTATTAAAAATTCAGCACTTTATAAGCCGATCTATATAAATAACATACAATATTGTAAATGTGATTACAAATACCTACAAACAAGTATAAACTTACCACTACTACATCTAACAAGAAGCAGCACATAAATTTTAATGGCACCCGCATAATACAAATGTAGTTGCTATTGTCCTTCATAATTCTTCCGCGCTCTCCTGTTTTTCTAATCTGCCAGTGAATATGCCACATGTACTTTCTGGCATGAAGTAAAGCAGTATTTTGTGAGAAGCCGCCTTACAATTTTTTATTAGGTGTTAGTGTTCGCTGGTCGGATCAGACCAGGTCAGGTCATGCATTCAGTGACAAAACGGACCTTCACTTAGCGTGCGTCCTGTTACGGGTGCCGGTAAGCAAGCCAATGTTCCCGGAGCTTTGAGGTTCACGCGTTTTCACTTCTGTAAAGACAATAAAGGTGTAACAGGAACTTCCCATTACTTCAGGAAACTTTTCGTGACATTCTGTTGCCCACGGGATATTTGATACTAATTGGCATTTAATAGCCCGAGTGCAATTTCGGTAACAAAATGGATCAATTCATATTTATGCCCCTTTTAAAGGCTTCTTTGTTTTTACATTCTACTAGTGCAGGCGGAAGTAAATTCCAAGTACCTGCTGCACGATTAATGCAAAATGGCTCCCGGATATGCAGTCTTACTAGTGTTTCATGATCTTCAGATGGTGTCCCTGTAGGTAACCCGACGTAGCTAGTTCAGAGGTTGGTAGGCTTAATGCCACTGAGACCATTCATAATCTTAAACTTTTCCATCAGGTCTCCCCTTAGTCTGCATCGTTCTAATGAGGACAAGCCTAAACAATCCAGACGGTCAACATACGACTTTCCACGCTAGCTATCAGTCACTCTGGTGACCAGCCTTTGTATCTTCTTTAAGCAAGCGGCGTCCTTTCAAAAAATGGTACCCAAGCCTGAACACAATACTCTAAGTACATATGAGACAAGGTACTGTAGGATGGGGCACTGATAATAATTAATCCCAAATTCACCCTAACTTTAACAAAGGCTCAGTAATCGTCTGTATTCCAATAGAATCACTCAGATGCAATAATTTCAACGAAGGATAATGAGAACTTATCCCTAATCCTAACCTCAAACCTTACCCACCAGTATTCTTAGCAATTATTCCTAGCCTTCAAGGCCCGCCATACTGACGCTTCCGCAACGGTTTACCGAGAACAGTAATGAAATTCGTACCACGCTTTGGGATTCAATTCTATATATGTACCGTCTGTATAACGGTATCTAAACATGATTACGGCCATAGCATCCTAGGAAACAGTTCAAACAAGTAACAAGTCCAGCACTTTTTTGTGTGACCATTTCCCTCTTTGCACAGATGGCGTGCTAGTTCTATGATTTGGACATATTTCCAATCTTTTTAAATGGAACAAATTGGTAAGGAAGTGGCAGAATATACACAAGTATATTGTTAACTATGTTGCTGCGTCAATAGTACCGCTAGTATTATGATACAAGACAATTTTTAAATAAAATCTTGCTTTCAATCAGTGTTAGTTTACTGCTAGATGACAGTTTATAGTGTCTTTAGTCATCCCAAAGAGATGAATTTGAGCCAATGTTACGTATTTTACTAAAGGCTTGCTGAAGCCTTACCTGATTACCATTTAGGAATCGATTTCCTACTAGTCGATACGATATTCGCAACCAAACACGCTTTTACTCATATCTTTAGGCTGCACATAACAATATTTATATAAGTGATCCAAATTCGTCCAGACTGTGACTCACTGGGACCGCCAGGTTCATGCAAAACAGTCACACATGGTGCGCCTACGGTCACTCCAGCGAACATTTTCCTTCAACTCATGTCATGTGAAACGGTTTTACAATGCATAATTGTTACTTTGAGTCGATTTGGAGCAGTGTGGACGGTATTTGCAGTTAAGTTAATAGCATTCACGATATATGTTTAGACTTCATTGGAATATATATTTTGAGTGACTGAATTTCATTAATATTATGCCTCACTGGGGCGACGAGGGGCACAAAAGAGCGGTCCAATGATCGCTCCAGCAGACGTTCTTCGTCCCTTATGTAATACGGGTGCTGTTATGCACAAAGTGCGATTAATGAATTGCTCCATCTACATCATCTCCTGTTTGGGCTGGGGTGACTGTTGCAGCGTCCTGTTTGATCCATTAGGTGCGTCTAGCCGTTACACAGAGACGCAAGCTAGACACCTTTCGTCACAAAATGTTTCTTCGTCGCCTGGTAGAATGACAAGATTGCATGTCTCTTGGTCATAAACACCTTCCGTATTTAGCGGCAGTTGATTTCCACATCGACAAAACCCAGAGCTGGAAGCATGAAGGTACCAAAAAGTCTTCTTGAATAACATATATATCACGAAAATGCCCATCACTGAGACAACCAGTGCCACAAAATTAGTCGCACAGCTACTTCACAACTACAATATAAAGAAACAGCAAGTGGCAAATGGCTGTATTGTTAACAAAATTTATATAAATTACGCTACTCATTTTTCATATGGTTGCGGTTGTCCGAAAACGCGCCTAAATGATACCTTAAGCCGTGTTGCGTTCAAAGTTTTCCTCAACACATTTTCATTACTGATCGCCTGTACACCATATGTTGTTGTTTCACTTCGTTCCACTCTTCGTTCGTAGTATTCCGCACTCGTCTGCTCGATGTGTTAGTGCACTGTTGCTTCTTCCCGTCCATCATTGCCTACCGAATGGAAGGAGTCTGTTGTCTGCCCGATTTTCAAGTGCGATGACAAAGACCTACCGGTTAATTACAGGCCTGTCAGCTTGACTAGCGTGATCAATAAGTTACTTGAAAAATTAGTACGAGATATAGTGTAGAACCATTTAAATATCTTTAACCTGCTTAGCCTCGTGCAACATGGTTTTCGCAAAGGATTTTCGTGTCAGACGAACTTGCTGGTAGCTCGTGAGTGCTTGGCTGAAGCCGTAGACAGTGGACATGCTGTGGATTTGATATTCATTGACTTCGCCAACGCCTTTGACACTGTCCCCCATTCGCGATTCTCACTGAAGTTGAGGTCGTATTGAATATCTGGTCGAGCTCTCCAATGGGTGTCAGGTTTTTTGGATGGACGGGAACAGTGTATTCGTGTGGGAAGCAGTCTTTCGTCTCGACCAGCTGTACTTAGCGACGTTCCGTAAGGCTCTGTCTTAGGTCCGCTGCTTTTCGCATTCTACGTGAATGACTTGCCGGAGGTGCTTGAGGTGCCATCGCTCTTATTTGCTGATGACTTAAAGCTCTGGAATATTGTTGTTAGCCCTGGAGGTCCTGTGGCTCTTCAACGGGCTCTGAATAGACTCTGGGAACGATCTGTATTGTGGTTGCTGCCCATAAACCGGGCAAAATGTTCAGTGCCGCGTATCGGAGCGTCCGATTCCTCCACAAGTTATGTGCCCGATGGAAGTTCACTTCTTCACGTGACGCATTATGTTGATCTAGGGGTCGTGCACTGTTCCATACTACACTCTGGAGACAACTGGATGAAGGCGGCTAGTAAAGGGTTCCGAATGTTGTGGTTTATCCGTCGTTCTTTTGGGACCCTTACCGCTATGTGTTTGTGAAGCTCTTCTCAGCGTTCGTGCGACCCCACCTAGAATATTGCTTCCAGGCCTGTCCACCATGCCTTGTCCGGGACAAAATGGCACTAGAAAGGGTGTTGCGTGTCGGTACTAGGTTGGTCAAGGGATTACGAGGGCAAACGTACCCCGAACGCCTACTTAGTTTGGGGATGCAGTCAATGCACTATCGAAGGATTAGTGGGAACCTAATCCTAACCTGCCGTATTTTGACTGGGAAGATTGCTGCTGATTTGTCCTGGCTGTTTAGTCCTGCTAGATTATCTGGTCTTTGCTGGCATTGTATGAAGCTGGACAAACCGCGGTCCGATCGAGTTAGAGCGGAGACACGGTTAGCACGTCGAGTCATCGAGCGCTAGAACCTGCTTCCAGAAAAGGTTGTCAAGGAAGCTACGGTCAAGGGGTTTGAGCGTCAACTAGATGCTCTTGGGTGGCAACACGAAACCTTTCCTTTTTCCTGACTGATTCCCATCTTCATACTTCGATTCTATTTTCTGTACTCTTCCTCACCATTGGTACTATGCTCTTCTTTTAATTGCTTTCACTTAATCTTTACCTTCCGTTTTTCTTCCTC